AACAAGAAGTTGTTAATGAAGGGCGAGTTTTGTTTGTTTGTTATTTTGAAGGGTCCCTTAAAAAGAAAACATGCATTAAAAAGGGTTAGGGAGTAACTCCAGTCAAATTCAATAGAACAGAATCGGTGAATATACAAAAATTCGCCATGAACACATTACTCTCTCACATTGACACCAAACAGCAATTTACCATGCTATTTAAGGACAAAATAATAGAAACATCTGACTTGGGGGGAAAAGTTGTTGCTTGCGTCGCCGATACTGAAACCACATCAAATAAACCAAAGCTATTAGATAATTAAGTGTTAAAACATGATCACAAAGATGCAGCTACTCTCACAGCATTGTACTGTTTGGATGCAGGAAAAGCTATGTCTGGATGCGCAATCAGTGTAGATTCAGTTCACACTTATGTGTACCATCTTTAAGTCGACACATTTGAAGAGTTGAAAGCTTCAAACTTATACTTGTTGGCATATGGTAATCTCAGAGAATTATTAACATTAAAGAAAGTTATCCCACATTAGGCTCGAGAAAGTCCAAAGCTCTTTGAGGTTTGCATGCGTGGCCAGGTAGAAAATTTGCAAAAACGACATGGATTAAATTAATGTTGTCACTAAACGACGGGGATGAAATATTGCAAGCAATTAGCACACTTGATAAATCAAGAAAATGTCATCTGAGAGAGTTGTTGACATCTTGGAAAGGTTTACGTGCATTGCATTTTTTTCAAAGGCAAATTTTTATACTTAGGTAGAACTTAGGTAGGAGCTTTTCTATAAAGGGAACGAAGGAAAAAATGTTTCTCCAAAAGAGTTCACTCTAATTTTTCAGACATGGATTGTGAATTACATTTGCTTCAATTGGAGATCATGCCAGATACTACTACAGAAATTACCATTTACATCATGAATGGGAGAAACATGATGACGACGCATTAGTATCTAAAAAGTGCCTGAAAAAAATGCCAACTTCAGATGAGATATTAGAGCTTGTAAAATGTGGATGTAAGAAAGTTTTTACCGAGACAAGAACTATCTGCCTACGAAATAGGTTGTCCTGTAGTCATGTATGCTCATGTAGTGATTACAATAACAATTGATAGCTATAGCATTTTAGGTGTGGATGATAGTGATAATCCTGGAGAACATAATGATGATATAAAAATCCATTAAATAACACATTTGAAATGTTAATTTTGCATGCTAATTCACAGACTTTGTATATTTCAAACATCTTGATGCAAGAAATGGGTGATTAGCCACTGAAAATTGGTTTTTAGTGTCTTGACAGTCAATATTCGTTAGAATGTATTTTGAATGGACTATATTGGAATCTAAGATGGAGGGCATATTGGAATTATCATTTTCGAAATCTTTAACTAAGAAAATGATGGTACTGTCACTAGAATCCTGTTTCAAAGTGTCTTAGAACCCAAGATATTTGACATTACAGTTTGTAAATGTCAGCCGTTTTAAAAGCCAAGATGGCCACGATAAGAGCCATAGAAAAATATCAAGAAAAAGGTTATAGAATTTTCTATTGTCTAAGCTTTTAAAATATATCATAGAGTTGCTTTTAACACTGAAACCAAGCCCGATAACAGTGGGTATCACATTAGACTATTTGTTTGGAGAAGATTATCTCAGAAGTGATATTACGAGTAAATGACCAGATGAACTCTTCAAAATGGGGTCTTCCAGCAGAATCAAAAGTGATAATAAATTGATTCTGAGCTGTGCAACTGTGCAAGTTAAATGGCATAATTTAATATTCCTGCCAAATCCCCTCATTAATAACTAAAGAAAAGAAACTGAAATATGACTCATTAAGACTCAGAATATATGCTGACTAAGCATCTTTCTTAGAAGTCTCTTTAATTTTCACCTTAATTTTCACTTTTAGAAAAATTCTAACAACAAAAGTCGGTCTGATACAAATTCCTAAGTAAAATAGTATTGCGTAGTTTTCACAGGTATTATAAAATATGTTATTTCAATGAGTAAAAAAAGCTATAATTTAAGAACCATCAATTATAATTTCGGTGTTTATTCGGATGGAATACAAATGTGTATATTATTCTCTGCAAAAGTATTTTGATTCATTAATACATATTCTTCCAATTTCTTTGACTGACAACACCTTTCATCTCTCTTCATACTGACTTGAACTGCATAACATTTCAACTGAATATAGGAATGTAGAGATGTGAAATGGAGAATAATAATTTAAAAGCTATCGGTGCCAAACTGCCAGGACTTGTCGGGAAAGCTCAACATTCTAAATGAAAACATGTATTCTTTGCAAGAAAAAATTAATGAATTGTTTTGAGAGATTTTTTTTTTCAATAAAATATAATCCAAAGAATATCAAGAAAGATCCAAGCTAAAATGTATAAATTGCGTACTATATTGCTACGCGATATTTGTCTTCACTTGTGTGATATGTGTTTCGTGCCAGGAAAGATTATACAAATTGATTTTGTCATTTCAGGTCAAATTAAAATGCATATCCGGTTAGAAAAACTTATACACATTGTGTAAATATATTTAAAATAAACATATTAATTAATAGAAAACGAACAAAAACATTAGCGAAGAAAAACTCCAAAAGACGTTTTCTTCGTCAGGTGATAAAAAATGATGCACTTATTGTTATTAATATCAGAATGTTAACACCCACACAATATAAACTTTGTTAGGACCTTCAACTAATACTGGGTTGGACCATATTTTGCCAAAATAATAGTCTACTCGTGACCAAATGGGTAACATCCTCTTCTGTGAATCAAATAATTCATGGTTCACGTCCTTTTATTGCAAAGATGCGCTCAACACTTTGGAGCCGTGGGTACACTGTAAGAGTTAGGTCAAATCTCACTATTCGGCCAGACAAGAGTAGTCCAAGAGTTGACTGTGGATTCTGTTAACTAACTGCCTTTCTTCTAGTCCATTAGTTCAAAATGAGAAATGGCTACGCAGGTAGCCTTTGCGTAGCTTTGTAATAAAATCATAAATACAACAACAGCATTCGATGTGGCCAAGACTCCAGTAGATGAGGAAGGTATCTTGTTTGGTTGTATTTCATTCGTCCGGGTCTGCAATAGGTATTCAAGTGTTGCTAAAAGATTACACTGTTGAATGCAATGTTCTAATGCGTCCGAAGGATATCCATTTAAATTTAGTAAATATGATAACTAAGAAAGAGGACAAAAATCAAAGTTATGTATTTCGAACCAGTGTTGATAATACAAGGTCATGGGATCATTGTATTATCTTCTTTGGAATGAATAACTTTGTTCATCAAGGTGGAGTGGAAATGCAACATTGGGTGGACGCAAGCTAATTGTTATTCGTCGTTCTAAATGAATCAGGGGATTCAGTTCATACAAAAAGGTTTCGGAATGTTTTATTAATGATGGTTAAGCTGTGGATGTAGAATATAATTTTAATTTTAGTACGAAGAGTTTGAGACACACATGTTAACTGACAAAGTTTTCTAAATCTAGTTGAACAAAATTAACAGCGAAGAAGAAGAAGAAGTCTGCTTCTGGTTAACAGAGAGTTTCGGCGTGGTTTATTATATAGTGGTGTGTACATGTCAAGAATGTCGTTAAGAGCGAGGTAACGAACTGAAGAACCAATGCGTTCTAAACATTGTAAGTTTTTAAAGGGGTTTTTTAAGTCCCTTTCGAATACCAATAAAGTAACCTAAAATAATTTAGGTATTTGAATAATGTTAGAGCTCGTGCCTAAATCATTATTACACATTATATATCGTACCAAGTATTTAATGATTACATATATATGTTACGGATTTCTCTTAAAGCAGTGGGAACGGCAAATCAAAGAAAACATTAGGCCTCTACGTCACAGATTCTCCTTCCAATTTTACCTTTGGTGAAATTGGAAGAGAAATCTGTAATATATATATGTAGTCATTGTAAGGTTTTGTTTTATAACTTTCCATGCACCTAGTTAGAACTATATACTTGTTATTTTCCCGAGAGGGGGCCAAAGACCGCTAGGAGGGGTCACCTGTTTTAACCACTCGCATTATTATACAGTAGTGTGTTGTCTGTCAGTCAATTAATAGACACTACAATGGCGTCACATAAGGGACGCTTAACGTTGCAATTTACTGTGTCGTGGCATCAGTAAAACGTGCGTATTCCATGAATCACGAGAAGAGTTATGCACGCTATAGGCTACAACACAGCATGTGATATGTTTGTTTGTAATTAAGCACAAAGCTATACAATGGGCTATCTGTGCTCTGCCCACCAAGAGTATCGAAACCCGGATTCTAGCGTTGTAAGTCCGCAGACAACTGTAGGGAGCTTCAAAAGCAAGAAATAAACAAAATTTGTTACTTTTAATATTGAACATAGTAAGATCAGAACTGATATTCTGAGTTTTATAGAATATAGCACTCAAACGCAAGCCTGTCATTTGAAAATCATTAGCAGAGCAGGTGGTGAACGCAGCTTTAAGATAAAAGAAGCATTACTCATCAGACAACTGAAAGCGGCTCTTAACCAGAATTAGTTTTTCCCAGTAATTAGTAATTGTACTAAAACTGCAAAAGTTGAATATGGATATTTCTTAATGTTAAGATTAATTTTGTTTTATTAACGATTTTTTCTTTCACAGATAAATTCCATATTAATTTATGTTAACGACATTTCACTGGAGATGAAATGTTGCGTCATGATACCAGGTCTTAATTTACAAGGCGGAACTTTGTACTTAAGATTACATTGTACCTGAAATGTTATATATTCTTCAGCCGATGATTTTGCGGTGTCACCAAAATGGTACACATATTCATAGCTATGTTCTTGTTTGCCTGTTTGTTATTTGTTTTTATATTTTTCATTCACCCAGTTTTTTGCAGCGTGTTCTGGTTACTTTCACAAATGTTAGATTTCTTTATATAAATTTTAATCTGTTGGTTTTGATTTCCTTTATCTGTTTGATTTCTTCAGTTTTTCGTATTTGTTGCTAAAATTTACATGCCCTACAGATTTCCCGTCTTTCTGCCCGCAGAAACTTGTGGATCCTTTTTTTTTCGTCATCACTTACCTGACGTGTCCCACAAAGTGTAGTTTATCGAACAACCTCCAACCTGGTATTGCGCTGTGTATCGTTCAAAACCCGTGGGAGTGTAAACCTGAAAGTAATGTCCAAACACAGTTTTAAGATTAACAGTTTTCAATCAGTTATATATTTATCTAATCAAAAACAACTTAGGGCATGATGGTGGGTAAAACAATATACGCCGCCTAACTAACTAATGAATGAATATTTGCTGTAAAATTATTATCAATGCTAAAAGCGTAGCTACCAGTTTGGCCACAAATTCTGATTTCATTCCTTTAAGTCGCACACTAAATCCTTTTTTGGCCGCACCTTTTTCACTTCTAAGGTGTTTTTGATTAGCTATCATGACTTTTTGTCAATATACACCAACAAACCAAAGCAAGTAAGAACGTAACACTCGATAGTAACCAACGTTATCATAAGGCTCGCAACCCTACTATTCAGAACATACCTATACTTTACAGCTAAACAATCGCCAAGTTTTTATATTTTTATTTTAAGAGGGTGACGTTTCGAGCTAGGGCTCTTCGTTAGATCGTACAGCTTACAACAAAAGTGTATACAAAATTGCGTGCATAGCATTTTGAAGGTTGAGCGTGAAATTTATGTGGAAAAATTACATCTTATACATAAATATTACAAGTCATGAAAAGATAAAACAGACTAAAATTTAAGTTGAAACAAAACATGGAAAGAAGAAGAATATATATAGGAAAAAAGCGTTTATTTAAACCAGATGACCAAATGGTTGTAGGGTTCCCAGATTGTAGGTTAATCTCTTTTCCAGGCATTCTTTTTTGTGAATGTCTGTTGGAGCACTAATAAGTCCCAAAATCGAAAAGTCCTCAACTGTATGGTTGTTGATGGTGAAATGTTTGCCTATAGGTGTATCTTAGTTCCGCACTTTTAATATGGATTAGATGTTCTCGATCAGAGAAATTTTATGCTCAACGTTGAAAATGTTCCGCACGCAATTTTTTTAAATTTTGCGCATGCGCCTTTGTTGTAATCTATATGATCTACTGAAGAGCGCTAGATCAAAACATCATTCTTTTAAAATGAAAATATAAAAAAGTTGACAATTGTTTAACCTATTTTTTAGTTTCTATATATTTTTTGCCCATGCGGTTAACTACATATTTAAATGAAAATAAAAAAACTTGGCGATTGTTTAACCTATTCTATTAATTTCGATATATTTCTCGTCCATGCGGTTAACTATATATTTCTTTCTACACTTTACAGAACCAACCAGATTCTTTAAAATATATGGTGGTAGTTTTCCTCTCTAAAACTTCTGTCTTTCATCCGAATGACAAGAAACCAAAAACGGTCCGCTTTTAATCTTAAATGTTTGTTTGTAATTAAGCACAAAGCTACACAATGGGCTATCTGTGCTCTGCCCACCACAGGTATCGAAACCCGGATTCTAGCGTTGTAAGTCTGTAGCCATACCGCTGAGCCACTGGGGGGCAATCTTAAATGAAACCATGGTAAACATTTCAGGCCGATAGCTCCCGTGACTTTTCGCGTGAGCGTGAGCAAACATTTGGGTAAAAAATGAACAGTTTTTGTTAACTAACTTTACATGTTTGGCTTATATTCAGGCCAAAATTAACACTTAATTGTATGTTATAGCATCTATCAGTGTACGAAATGTGAAGAAAATCCATCAAAGTTAAGTATGTTTTTTTATCAAATAACGTTTCGGTGTGATCGTTGCGAAAAAGAAAACAAGAGGGAATCCCCAATAGACACGGCATTTGAAATTCATTTCGGCAGGATTTGAGTAAATTAATCTATGAAACCTTTATTTTTGTGCACCAGCAATACCAAGAGTGAGGCTCGCGCTTACCCAATTCGATTATATTACCCATCAGGATCTCCACTAGCCTACCCTCAAATTGAAATTTTTTTTAGACACGATTAGAATAAATTATTCTATGAGACCTTTGACATAGTCAAATAATCAATCGAAAGGATTAGACTTCCTGAGTCCAAAACCGTAATTAGATCTCAAATCGATCAAGAGATAGAGCTATGAGCTAAATGTTTGAATTTAAAAAACAACTCATAGCCATTCTATGAGCCACTATGCCGCGGCTAAAATAGGAAGAAATTCAATCAAAATTGGAGATTTTATATCTCGTGTGTTTCTTAGTGGATTGCCTTTAAATCTGGTATGTGAAGTAAAGGTCCAGTATAGAACATCCACTGAAAATATGTGATAGTTTGAATTACCACAGTCTAGGCTACAGAAAACGGAAAATTGCTAAACTATTACTTCTGCTAAAAACATAAAGTTTGTCGTGCGGATTCTTTTGGCAGCACGACACACTAACGTGTGTCTTGATTTATATACTTAATTGATTCTCTTAGCGCTAAGTGCGTATAAATCCTCTAACGAGTAGACTCATCAGATTTATGGTAAAATACAATTGAAACTGTTTCTCTGTCGCTTTATTTTTTCAAATGGAATAAAATAGGGCAAAAATGTTTCGAAAATCGATCGTACGGATAAATACCTGAGCTCATCAAACAGTGTCAAACTACACAAATTCTATCTTTATCGTACGGATAAATACCTGAGCTCATCAAATAGTGTCTAACTACACAAATTCTATCTTTATCGTACGGATAAATACCTGAGCTCATCAAATAGTGTCTAACTACACAAATTCTATCTTTATCGTACGGATAAATACCTGAGCTCATCAAATAGTGTCTAACTACACAAATTCTATCTTTATCGTACGGATAAATACCTGAGCTCATCAAATAGTGTCTAACTACACAAATTCTATCTTTATCGTACGGATAAATACCTGAGCTCATCAAATAGTGTCTAACTACACAAATTCTATCTTTATCGTACGGATAAATACCTGAGCTCATCAAATAGTGTCTAACTACACAAATTCTATCTTTATCGTACGGATAAATACCTGAGCTCATCAAATAGTGTTTAACTACACAAATTCTATCTTTATTATCCTAAAGTGACTTTCTATCCTACCAAACATACACTGAAGTGTGTAGAACAGAATGTCTTTGATTTTTATTAATTTATTATTTATTTTATTATTTTACTTTATTAATCAATATTTTTGGAATAAAAACAAATTGAATATATAGTTTAGAGTAAAATAAAATACGCGGCCTTAAAGCGAGATAAGATATATAAATTACCAACAATTTTGAGAACTGAAGACATTTTGACAGGGGATTATGAACAGCACTGCGTATTGCCCCCACATGCTGGCTATGCAGTGCAGACAATATTCAGCTTACACTTAATTGTCAGTGGACGTATTATTACTTCCATGGTTGCTTCGCTTACAAATTCTTATGCCTTGTCTAGTTTCTATTTTATGCCCCAAATTCTATCCCTGTTTTTTCTAGTTGTAAAGTTGCGAGATATCAAAGTTACATGTTTACACTACAAAACTCTACATTTTGTTTTCATATCTCCGACGTTTCCTTAGAAGAAAACATGATCTTCAGCAGCTTCCAAATTGATAATCTATTTAGGTAAACAAGAAAGTTTTTTCCAGGGTCATTGAAATTCGATTTGAATATGTAACTTGTCGTTCAAGTGCCTTAAACAGGAACCAATTTTTCACAAGTTTACTTTGGAATCCATACACAAAATGTCCTATAGTAACATTTCAAAAGCCAATATATATATTGCAAAAATAAAAAAATAAATATTTATTCCCGTAGAAAAAATATTTAGTTTGATATTGTTTATTTTTTTAATTTATGGTTTAAATTTTATGACACTATAATCTTGTTATTTTATTCATCAAGTTCTATTCACGATTGGGTATTTTTAATTCAAGTATTTTATTAGCACACACAATACACAGCTAATACGTGATTCATTTTAAAGTTCTTTTATTAGCCAGCGTAAAAAGTAATTCTACATAGTCCTACCTATTTCGAAAGAAACTAATCAGTGTTTCGTATTCTCATATATAAATCGAAAAGAACGAACAAGATACGAGAACGTTGCTCTCTGTACATTTTAATAGCACTTACATAACTGAGATCACTGTAATCTTGAATGAAACATATAGTAATGGGTATAGCACATTACTCCTTGTTGAAATGTGGCATGAAATATATGAAAACAGCAATTTTGTTCAGAAGGTTTTCAATTGCCTGGTAAACTCAGTGAGATAATAATATATATAACATTAAATTCTGTTGTTCCTACTTCACGCATCAGGCTTATGACGGCATCCTGTTTTAACAACAGGGAAATGATTCTAAACTGAATACTTAGTAATGTATGGTACTTTTAGTCATTGTTTACTCATGCCCTCCAGTGGATCAACGATAAGCCTGAGGGCTTATAATGCTACAAATCGGGTTTTGATGCCAATGGGAGACACAGCACAGATAACCCATTGTATAGCTTTGTGCTGAACAACTAATAAACTCACTTTTACGCGTCACAGTGAACCTATATTGATAGCCTATATCTATTTATGAATATATGTTCACTATGGTGAGTAAATAATAATAAATATAAATTAGTAATATCAGTGCTACATATTCTGTAAATCCTATATGAACATCGGTTCACATTGGTGAGTAAAAGACAACTCAAAACACCGCAAATATAACATACAGTCCATCACTGCAAGAAACCTAGTCTATTTTTTAGATTTGCCTTTGTCCAGTGTTACTGATGAGGCGTATAATTCCCTGAAAACGGTATAACTCAGTGGTAACTGATGAACAGTATGATAGATTAGACTTCATTCTTAAGTTTATTATCTTAATGTATTAATGTTTTTTTGCTTATCTGTTTTATCACCTAATGCTCTTTACTTAGTCAATTTTGTGAAGTGTAGAAGACGATATTGATCAATTGTTTCAAAATCGCTTTTAGCATTTTGGTATAAATGAACAATGGCGTTTCATCAAAACAAAGTACTTTCTAATTCAGGTTACCAAGTCTTATCCTGCTTTTACCAAATAATATTGGTTTTCAATAACATTTTAACCAGATTAGATTAACAAGCTCATGTTAAAGTTTGCTAAGAACATTATGGTTAATAA